GGGGGGAGGGGGGTCTAGCTGCTGGGTGGACCTGGGCCCCAAGCCTCAGCCTACACCCTCACGCACACACACCTACACCCTCACACTCGCACCGACCCGGCCCGCGGGGAGGCGCCTGAGGGTACCGGCCCCATTCTGAGAATCCTGCCACCTGCTTCCACCTCTGGGGAACCCCAGGATCCGTGACCTCGGGGGTCCCCCCAACCCCAGCACCCATCTCTGTGCAAACTCTCCGATGCAGTAGCTCTCTGGGGAAGCTGGAAGCCAAGGTTACCCAGGCGGCTTGAGGGCTGCGGGCCCCGAGGCCAGGAAGACCACACGTGCTCCAGCTTCCCCAGTTCCGAGACCCAGCTGCGGCCAGAGAAGAAAAACTGGCTCCCTCCCAAGTCCACCCTAACCGCCTTGGCAGGTCTGTGCATAGGCAGTTCACCCACACCTGGGCCTGACACAACGTCTTCCTGACACCCTGAGGCCCTGCCTCCAGACAGGCCCTATATACAGAGTGCTGAGAATGGAAAACAGAATTTTGTTAAGAGTGAGGGGAACACGGCCCCTACAATCCGTCACCGCCACCCAAAAAGGAAGAGATATTTCAGTCCGCTGATAAACAGATATTGTGTCTAAAGATTTTAAATGGTTTATTTCCCCATGCTAATTCTCTAGACAACCCCTGTTTTCACAAGAGGCTGTTGATTAGAACTCTGTGTGGCAGAACAAGTCTATAGTCCCAGCTGATGCAGGAAGATCCCCAGTTCAAGACCAGCCTGGACTACATAGACACTCAAAGAAAAGAAAAAAGAAAAGTAGAATCCATGACCGGTCTGATTATCCACAAATGAACACAAATAACTTTCCAAACTACACCCAGACATTGTTGCATAGTAAACATGAAGATGATCCTTGACTATTGTGAGTTGTTGGGAATGTCTAGTGATAGAATTATGTGCTACTGTGAGTTTGAGGCCTGTGCCAGAGTAGCAGGTGTCACCAGGATAAGTTAATTAATTAATTAATTAAGCTGATTGACTCTGTGATGTGATTTCTAACCTATAAGATAGGGACAGTAATTATACTCACAGATGTGCGAAGGATCAATTGTGATGGTATCTGAAAATGCTTTGTAAACCAGAAAGCATAAAGCACTATGCAAATAACAGGTGCCTGTTGCTTTTTTTTAACCCCAGAAAACTTTTGTGATCCCCAGTCAGATCTCCTGGCCCAGAGAAAGAAAAAATTTCCTGTGATACATACTTCATAGCTGTTGTTTATCATAACTCTTTCTGGAAATCCCACTAAAAATGTATCTAACATCACTCCCATTTCTGAGCTGACATACCAATAGGCAGAATAAGTCACCTAGAGTTATAGAACTGCCAAGGGTAGTAGAATTGTAATTCAGTCTTTACTTCTAGCCTAGAATACTATGAACCTGAAGTCTTTTCCCTAGCAAAAAAAAGACCGTCTGGAAACTTCAAGGAAATAGAGCACAGTTTCACAGTTCTACATATTTTCTCATTCATTTTTAATAAACAATTTCTCCTCCCTCAAAATATTTTTGTCTCTTTATTAGCTCATCTGCCTGTCTCATTTCCTCAGCTTTACAGTCCCTATGTTTGTGGTCATCACACTAACCATTGTAAATGTGTAAAAGGTGTCAACACACCCATCTCATATTCCCACTCACCTCCTTGAGATCAGCCTAATCAAAAAGACTTTTTTTTTTTTTTGTGGTCAGTCACAGGGCCTGGACACTGTCCCTGAGCTCTTCAGCTCAAGGCTAGCGCTCTACCACTTGAGCCACAGCACTACTTCTGGTTTTCTGGTGGTTTATTATAAATAAGAGTTTCACAGATTTTCCTTGGCCTTGAATCACAATCCTCAGATCTCAGCCTCCTGAGCAGGTAGGATTACAGGCGTGAGCCACGGGCAACTGGCCAAAAAGACTTTTATTACCAGCTTTAGAGATTTGGGCCAGAGGCATCTAGCAAGTAATGTCCATGCCAGAACCAAACTCCATTGCTATTCAATTTGTTTGTTTGTTTGTTTGTTTTGGGGGGTTGTGTTGTTTTATCCCCATGTTGGAGTTTGAACTTGCTCCCACTTAGCTTTTTCACAAGGCTGATACTAGATGATTTGAGCCATACCTCTACTTCTAGCTTTTTGTTGGTTAATTGTAAATAAGGGGATTATAGGTATGAGCCACCAACACTCAGCTTTATTCTATGTATTTAGCCTCTTTCACTTAAAACTCTCAGGCTGTTGTCCTTTGCTTAAATGGCCGCTCAGTATCTTAAAGAATAAATGCAAGTCACTAACCCCTCAGAGTTCTAAATCCTACAAAATATAACTAGTGATAGATACCTGCCTCAAAGGTTTTGGTAAAATTTACATGTGTAAAGTCTCTACCACATGTTGAAAACTTTATAATTTGTTAGTTCCCTTCTTTCTTGAGCTATTCTTAGTTTCTCAGACAATGTCAGAAATCCCAAGGCAAATCCAGCCATCCCATGGGTAAAATTTCTTGGCATGCTTAAAAAAAAGTATGTGGTAGAGACTTCCAGAGGCCCTAGGGAGTCCCCTTGGTGACTTTCCAGCTATTCTGCCTGTTAGTTGAAAGGAGGTGGATGCTTCAAAAAAGCTATGAGATAGAGTTTTGTGGTTTGCTTTTTATTTCAGCAGGGATGGAAATTTTATACTTGCAAAGAAACAAGGGTATGCTAGCCACAGTCTTAGAGCTTGTGATATTAAATCTAGCAAAGAAGCCTTGGGGGTCTAGAATGTAATTAATCTGAAGTCAGAGACCAGGCTAAGGATTGTAGGATTGTATCTTGTTAATGTTTTCTGTTCTCTCTCTCTTTCTCTCCCTCTCCTTTCTTTCTTTCCTCTTTCATCAACATATGTTGGTTTTTAGTAAAATTCTCTTGGAATAAGCCATGCTGTCTCAGATATTCTAGTGAGGTCCTGGGTTTTAAAGGTGGACCAATGAATGCCGGGGGCCAATGGCTCATACCTGTAATCCTAGCTACCCCGGAGGCTGAGATCTGAGGATCACGGTTCAAAACCAGCCCGGGCAGGAAAGACCATGAGAGTCCAATCTCCAATAAAACACCAGAAAACCGGAAGTGGCACTGCAGCTCAAGTGGTAGAGCGCTCGCCTTGAGCTGAAGAGCTGAGGGACAGCGCCCAGGCCCAGAGTTCAAGCCCCACAACCTAATAAATAAATAAATAAGGACAAATGAATCCCAGAAGAAAAGAAGGCATGTGACAGCAACAATCAAAAAGAAAGGAAACCAAGGCAAAGAGTTTTATCCTGCCGGGTGCCAGTGGCTCATGCCTATAACCCTAGCTACTCAGGAGGCTGAGATCTGAGGATCATGGTTCAAAGCCAGCCCAGGGTACTCTTATCTCCAATAAGCCACTAGAAAACCGAAAGTGGTGCTGTGGCTCAAGCAGTAAAGCACTCCCCTTGAGCTGAAGAATGCAGGGACAGTGTCCAGGTCCAAAGTTCAAGCCCTGTGACTGCCAAAAAAAAAGGAGTTTTATCCTTTCTCTGGTCAGCTACTGTACTACAAACATTATATCCAGATCAATTCCAGAAGGTCCTTGTTTTTTGGACACATGTCTTTTGAGATCCCATAGTTCCCTCAAGCCCACAGAGGGGAGCAAGCTCAGCCATTTGGTCTCTTGGTTTACATCACTTCCATGTCGTAGTAAAGGGATTGAATGGGGGACAATGGGGACAAGGGTGAGTCCTCAGATGGTTAATCTAATTGTCTTTGGTTTTCCCTATTTAGCCCACTGTGGATTTGAATGAGAGAAGGTTGTACAAATACAGGTAGGTTGTAGGTCAGGAGAAAGAATCCCAATGGGAAGTGTTGAAGGAACATACCAAGGAATGTTTGCAAGAATGAGTCAGAATGCAGCATAGTGTGACTCAGGGAGGGGAGGAGAGTGTCCAGGCTAGGAGGTCATATGGTAAGTTGGTGAAAGGCAGTAAGGACCTGGCTGAGAGCAGAGGCATTATGGGAAGTACATGTAGAAGAGTTGGGATTTCGGAGGAAGGAGCTGTTGAGTCTGGTGAATGGGGAAGTCTGGAGTGAAAGCATGGTAACAAGCCTTGTAAACCCTGAATGGAGAGGCAGGCAGAGATAAGTGGGCAAGAAGAGGGAAGAGAGTGAGCACATTCAGTGTGAGGCTTTACTTTGAAACATCCAGATAGAGCTTTCCTCTTTAGGAAATAGTTGGATGAACAAGCTTGGAGTTGAGGAGTGAGATCCTAACTTCTCCTTCTATGTCACCATCAGTCTACAAGCCCAGCCTGTCTGGTCTGAGTAAGCCAAACCTTGGCCCTAGGGAAAGAAGCTAGTTTCTTGAGCTCTCCAGTTTGGAATAGAAACAGGTTAAACAGGTTGGATTCAGAGGATCACAGTCCAGGTCCAAATGTGCAAATAGGCAGGGCATGGGCAGAGCCACACAAGTCACTGTCCAAGGCAGATGGTAAACCAAAGGGAAATACCCAGGGCTGACCACCTTGGGGCCAGTGAGCAAAATTCTAGCACACATTGACAGAGTTCTACCTCAATCTTCAATCCCTGTGGAAAGCAACTGTGGTGGGGCACAAAGGGGAGGAAAGAAGAATGGAAGAGAAGAGAAGAGAAAGAACAGGCTTGAAAAAAACAAATCTGATGAATTCTTACCTCAACCCCTTCCTTCTAAGATGGTGTAAAGGAATGCCCCCTTGATAACCTCTAGCCAAAAAAAAAATGCCTATGGGGGGGGGGGAGACTTAAACATGACTGACTTTATTTGAAAAAGAGGTCTTTGCAGACGTGACTAAAGATCTCAAGATGAAATCATACTGGATTAGGGTGAGCCATAAATCCAAGGATAAGTATCTGTGGAGGACACAGAACAAGAGAAGACATAGATAAGAACGTTTGGCGAAGGGAGTGGTAAGGATTGGAATTATGCAGCCATAGCCAAGGAATGCCACAGCTTGCCAGCCAGCACCAGATATTGAAGAAAGGCATGGAATGGATTTGTCCAACCTTGCAGAAAGAACCAACCTTGCCGACACCTTGATTTCCAGCTTCCCGCCTGCAGAACTGAAAGATAATAAATGTCTATTGTTTGAAGCCTCCCAATAGCTGTGGGAATTTGTTATGGCGGCACTGGGGAACAAATACAGATGGTACCCACCACTCTAAGTAAACAAGA